TGGTTTTCAACAAAGCAACCAAGATATTTCAATGGGAAAAAGAGTAATCTTTTCAGTAAATGGCACTGAAACACTTTGATGGCCATATGTCCCCCAAGATAATGAACCTTGACTCTTACCTCATGCCGTGTACAAAAATTATCTTGAAATGTATCATAGGCCCAAATGTAAAAGAGAGCTATAAACCTTCTAGAAGGAAATATAGAAAGAAATTTTAGTGGCCTGAGGTTTGTCATATATTTCTAAAATATGACACAAAAAGGATGAGCTATCAAAGAAAATTTTAAAAACTTTTGCTCTTCAAAAGATACAGTTAAGACATTGAGAAGTCAAGCCACAGACTGGGAGGAAATATTTGCAAAATGGCATCTTACATTAGGCTTGTATCTAAACTGTATAAAGAATTTTAAAACTCAGTAATAAAAAAAACCCACAATTAAAAATAGATACAACATATGAATGGACACATCACCAAAGGAGATATACAAATAGCAAATAAACACATGAAAAGATGCTCAACTTCATTAATCGTTGAGGAAATGCAATGAATAAAATTAAAATGATTGATTATACCGTGTTGGTTAGGATATGGAGCAACCATTGATAAAATGTAAAATGGTAAAATGATTTTGGAAAACAGTTTGCAGTTTTTTTTTTTTTTTTTTGAAACAGAGTCTTGCTCTGTTGCCCTGGGTAGAGTGTAGTAGCATCATTGTAGCTCACTGTAACCTCAAACTCCTGGGCTTAAACGATCCTCTTGCCCCTGCCTCCCAAGTAACTGGGACTACAGGTGGGTACCATGATGCTCAGCCAATTTTTCTATTTTTAGCAGAGACGAGTCTCCCCCTTCCTCAGGGTGGTCTCGAACTACTGAGCTCAAGCAGTCCTCCCTCCTTGGCCTCCGAGAGTGCCGGAATTACAGATGTGAGCTACTATGCCTGGCCTAGTTTGGCAATTTTTTAAAAAGTTAAAGATAGACCTACCCTATGACCCCAGACATTGCACTCCTAGGTACTACCCAAGAGAAATGTAAGCATATATCTACCCAAAAACTTGTACTTGTGTGCTCATAGTAGTTTTGTTTGCAATAGCCAAAACCTGGAAGCTGCTCAAATGACCACCAGTAGGTGAAAGGACAAATTTGGTATATCCATTCAGTGGAAAACTGCTTAGTCACAGAAAGGAATGAACTCTTGATTCACACAGCAACATGGATGAATTTCTAAGTAATTTTTTCAAGCGAAAGAAGGCAGACGAAAAAAGATTGCATACTGTATGATTCCATTTAATATAAAATTGTAGAAAATACAGCTAATCTCCAGTGAGAAAAAATAGATCAGTGGTTGTTCTGGGATGGGGTAGGGGTTGGAAAAGGTGGTAGAGAGACAAGGAAACTTTGGGGGATGATCAGTATGTTCATTATCTCCATTATGACGGTAGATTGATTGGTTTATAGATATGTAAAAATCTGTCAGATTGTACACTTGAATTTTGTGCAGTCATTAGTATGTCAGTTGTATCTCAATAAAGCTGTAAATAGGAAAAAGAAAAATGTTGACATGGATCAGAAGGAAATTAAACATATATATTTATACATAAATTTTTAAAAACTTAGTGAAAAAAATCATTTTTATGAAGGAAGACTCCAAACCATAAATATTATACAAGAATTCATGAAGAGATAGACTGTAGGGGACAATGAAGTAAAACATGATTTGGTAGAATTCAAGAAGAAAATAGAAGAAATGGAATTATGCAGTTGGAAAGAATGCAAGGCAAATTGTCACTATGGTAACCATAGTGGAGATACAGAACAGGGGTCGCACACTGTCACCCATGGGCCAAATCCAGCCTATCTGTTCATTCATGGCCCTGAAGCTGAAAATGATTTTTACATTTTTAAATGGTAAAAGGCCAAAGAGAAAACACAGAGACTGTATGGGGCCTGCAAAATTGAAACTATTTATTATCTAGCCTTTTGCAGAAAAAGTTTGCTATTCCTAACATAAAAAGTGAAAATCAAAAAAAAAAATCAAAAGTGATAAAAAGTGAAAATCAAATGAATAGAAATTAGGAAAGAATTGCTTATAATCACAAAAATATGATAATAAAAGTAGGAAAAAGAGGCACTTTAGTACTTTATGTACTAAAAGAGAAAGATCTCTAGGATATATCCTTAAGTGAAAAAGCAGGATGCAGACTGTGTGGGAAAAACATTAGACAGTACAATTGAAATGCCCAAAGAAAACAGTAATGGAAGAATATGTTTTTAAACATATAAATCAGGCACACTTTTCAGGAAAAAGTAAAACTTGAAACTACATATTTGAAATAGGATGCTGCATGGTTGGGGAAAACTGCCCCAAAATAGTCAACAGTAAGATATATTTTAGTATATTTTTCTTTACACAGCTGTAAAGTAAAATGTAGATTCCCTTGACCAGTAGGCATAAGATCAGGTCATGTATGGAGACAAAACAATTCAATTTGACTTCAAACTTTTCTACAAAAAAATAAACTCCAGGTGACAATGAAGTAAGAACTATGAGATCCTCAAAGAAAGGAAGAGTAAACCCAAAATTCTATATTTACTGAACTATTCTTCAAATAAAAAACCTACAAATAAACAGTTTTGAAAATAGGAAAAAACTCAGGAAATATTCTCATGGTCCCTTTATGAGAAAAATGCTAGACATCAAACTTCAGCCAGTAAGAGATGTCTGAAAATTCTACAGCAAAGGACTGAAAGTAAGCATTGACTGTATTTAACTATAGAAATAAGACTGAAACATATGTGGCATCAGGTACCAAACCAAATGTAAATGCCTTGGCAGTGTATAATTCAACTAACAAAAAAGAGAGGTCAAAGGTAGTGGAAGGGGAAAAGTAGTTTAATGTTTGCCTCATCTGTAATAGGAGATAAAGACATATCATTTATGGATTTAAGCATATACTTTTTAGTACTAAGGTAAACACTGTGAAGGGTCATATTATTGATAAATATTAGTGGAAGAAAAGGAGGAAGAGAAAATACATCAATTTTGTCACTATTCAGAGTAAGAAACGTAGAGATACTGTCTAAAGTAAGAATATTATATAAAGTTGTCATTATATGGTATTCACCAGGAAAAAAAAGAAA